TGGCTTTATTCTGTAGTGATTCTTGAGCTCGGGGATCTGGGAAACCCATAATTAGTTGTTGGTCTGTTTGAACAGGGTGAACATTGAGCTGGGGGTGATGTGTATGATATTCCCAGATGCCATAGAAGCTACAGGTCAGCACCGCAGTCGCCTACAGGTGCTGTATCATCTGAACAATAAGCTGTTATGTTCTTCTGAATGACAGACATGAGCATTTCAATAGGAGACAACTGAAGTTACTATGACCCACTGAATGTCTATGAACCACGCTGTTGTAATTTGTTCACAATGACAGTTGGAAAAAAAACAAAACACCAAAACTCTGTACCAAACCATAGATATTTATTTGTTCTGCACTTTCTTAAAGCACACCAATATTTTTGCATTGATGTAAAAGACTTCACAATGCAAGCACATTCACTAGGGCATGGTGAAAAAGTGGTTAGTGCTTTTGCCTTACAATAACCAGAGGTTCCTGTTCGATTCCTCATTTTTCTGTATGGAGTTTGCATGTTCTTCCTGTGAATGTGGGATTTTCTCCACTTTCCTGTCATATTCCAAACACATGAAGTATTAGGTCAATTGGACAGAGTATAGGATTGGAGTGAATGTCAGTGTGAACAGTTGTTTGTGTATATGTGGCCCTGCAATGGGCTGTTTACTTTGTCTTCACCCTATGACTGCTCAGCTGTCGGCTTGTCAGGATTGAGCTGTAGAAGATGAATGAATGAATACATGAATGAATGAACACACTCATGCATTTAGTTTGTTATCCCACAACTCTTCACAGTGCAGTGTCAGGCTGATCCTCCTGGGCCTCGGCTGTCTGTTAGCATGGCAGGTTGTGTGAAAGGAAAAGTCATCAGCTCTGACCTGAGGTCCAGAGCAGCCACTGGGAGGAATCAATTCCCACCCTTAGATCACTGCGGCGGTGTTATCTTAAACTTGAGGCTTTCGCTCTGACATGAAGGAATGTCACCTCTGAACATTTGAAACACACACACACACACACACACAGATAGACGTGGAAAGGAAGATTTCTCACGCCTACTAAAGAGGTAAATTCATTTCACAGAGAGTGAGAGAATGAAAGAAAGAGAGCAGTGGCACTGCTCCCACTGCCCTTTGATGTTGAAGGTGATGGGTAGACTGCTTGTTATCAGTGTGAGGGCATGATTTATAGGCTCTTTGATGGCTGGCACTCAGACTGGAACACGGTCTCTGTGCTCATTAATCAGAGCTCATATCTGCACGCTTTGGTCCTTAAACAAATTCAAATGTCAAAGGTGCACGCCTGTGTGTTTTCCAGTAATGCCAGCTGCTGTAAGTCTTAGGAAAAAGGTCTTTCGCTGACGCTGACAGTCAAGACATTTACATACAGGTAATATAAGCTACAGTATCCCAGAGGGCATTTACTTATATATGAAATGAATTCAGTAATTGTGCTCTGATCAATGGCCTCAAAAGCATCTTTTAAGCTGTTAGCTGTTAGCAAGTTAAACAACAACGAGGGGCAACTCCAGCTTTACAGGAGCAGTAAATGTTGATTATTTTACCTCTAGTGACCTTCATCAACTTTGTTGGTTTGTATTATTTGACTCTCTTTTTGTTTTGTTTTTTTGCAACTTACACAATTTGTTTCCCCAATAACATATACATGTCCAGCCAGCAGATGGTCTGGTATTTCACGTTAAATAAATCTAGCAGAGCTCTGCTGTCCTAAAATGCTTCTTTCGTCTTTGTTGTTCCTTGATTTCCATCACCCTCTGAGGTTCCCCATTATACAAGCTAAAAGGCACTGGTTTATATTTACCTCTGACACCACAAAAAGACAGGGGGGAAAGGAAGTCGGGCTCACACACACACACACACACATTTGGGGGAGAAGGTGGGGAACACAAGAAAGACCAGACTAGAGTAGAAGTCTGGTTTCCATTAGTGGTAATTATCTGTTTCATCTTAACCTCAAGCAGTCAGTTCAAATGTAACTTTACCTGTGTATGTTTGTGCAAAGTTTCTATTTACGCTTGGCTGCTTTGGTCTCCAACATGAATCCAAAATCTAGAATTCAGATGCAGCATTATCAGGATGAAACCTTGACTAAAAATGTCAATAATCCCCTGACTCTTATAGGATGAATGCTTTCCTTACTGTCCGAGCATCAACGTTGAAAACTTGACTTGGCCAAAACATTTTGTTAAATGAACAAGTCATCGTTTTTAGAGCCAGCAGTCCATCACAGCAGGACAGGCCAAGACAAAGTAGTCTTTACTGAAGACTGATTTAAATCCAGGCCACACTGCGTCACACAAGACACAGGGTCAATAGTCTTGATCTCAACAACAAACAAAATAAAATAAAATCACCGCAATAATCCTTAGTCAGTACAATTGGTTGAACATTAGACTCTCCCTGGAAAACCAGATGTTCTTGTTATTTTTAAGTCAGTTTATATTTGAACATTTTACACAAACACAAAAGCATGTCAAAGACTGTCATATTTCAATTGTTACAGTTTAAAGCGATGGCATTCGACCACAGCTCTGAAACTTGATGAGCGCACACACTGAGACACACATGTTTCTTGAGGTTGGTGCCAACCTCGACCACTATTCTTGACCCATGACCTCTCAAACTGACCCTGTCCTGTGCTACAGCGACCCCCAGCTGGACAACAAGCCAGCACAGTTATTTCCACTGAATGAGTGCTATTTCTTCACAGATGCAGAGTAAAAAAAACAGATGAAGCAGGAAGTTGGACATATCAAATTGTAATGAGAAGTTTAGAAATAAATAAAATGGAATTCTGGAATAGAGGGAAAGGCTCCAGAACTGAAGAAAAGGAGGCAGGAAGGAGGAACTAAACTTATGGGAATCCTCTCAGTGTTCCTGCCCAGGGCTGTTTATCTTGCAGATTGAGTTAAGCACAAGCCTCTTATAACTCTCCACATACCAGACAATATCACAGTCCCCCGCTTTACGAATATAAACATAGGCGCTTTATCAAAGACCGGCAGGGTTCATTCAAACACATAGGCTCTTTTTCTTAACTTAATTTACTGCACCCTATACAACGTTCCTTTATTGAGTTTTGGCTGTTTAGACGTCTAATTTAGGGCTGAAAATGGGGAGCATTAGGGGGTCTATTGATGAATCTCAAAATGGGTTTTCTCCGTGTTTACCTTTTCGAAACCACACTGCTTTCTTATCAAGCTTAGATCTATGAACTATCGGTATGGAAAAGCCCTACAGGTCACGCACAACACGGTGTGTGTGATTTCCACAGAGAGAAGGCATTGTTGAGGGAAACACAGGAGCATTCACAATGACCAGAGTGTGGTTTTAAATGTGGAAATGTGTGTTTCCCTGTTGTGCTAACAGTGGCGAGGATTGTCTTGAGTCAATGCATAAAAACTGAGGCTTGTCTGACACACACACACACACACATAGTGACGCACACACACAGAAACCCGTCTTTAGAAACCCAGTCCACGCCCGTTGGACGGCACACACACACATAGTGACGCACACAATAAGAGAAAAGGAAAGATGGGGAAAGAGAGAGTTAAACCATCTAGTGTTTTTGAGAGAATATTCTCTAAGAGCAATAACTGCAGAGCAGTCACAGTTATGGGTGTTCTGAGAGCCTTTCTCTCTCTAGCTCTCTGTGTGTCTCTTGCTACCTCTTGTGCACACAGACACACACACAAACACACACGTCAGACACACTGGAGTAAAGTGAAGGATGACTTGGCAGTAACAGCCTCTCCAGCCTCAGAGTGGGTCTTAGGGGAGCTGTGCTGGGAGAGAACTCAATGTTAGAGTTGCTGCAGCCACTGGAGTTCACTGTGAGGTGGTCTGTGATTCTTTCTCCACCTTCCTGATTCCCCTCGTCTCTATTTACTTTGAGGTCTCCTTCCACCATGTATGCTACAGTCTCTCTTTCCCCCCAAACCCTTTGCTCTTACTCCTTATCATATTATCACCTTCTACTGTATCACCTTTTACTGTATCCTCTAGTAATCACTCTCTATCCCTACTTTATAGTTTTCAACTTTGTTTGGTGGCTGTGTGCATACAACAGTGAAGAGCCTGAGTGCACTTGAAAATAGGGGGAAGAAATTGAAAGACAAAGTGAAAAGTGCTGGGACTATAAGAAAACAAAGATCTGCTGATGCAGAGCTCATGAGTGGCCTGTATTTTTCTAGCGTGTGTGTCCATGTATGCTTATTTTTCCTGCAAATGTTTAATATTAGAATGCTATGTTTGCTTTCCCTCGTCTATTGTTTGTCTGTCTGTCTGTGTATCCCTCCCTGTCTCTCTTACCCTGATGATGTTAGTTGTGTGATCTTTGGTGTCATATGAACCACTGCATGTTTTTTAGATCTCATAAAACAAGCCAAAATGCCCCATAATTCTCTTCCTGTCTCTCACTGCCTGGTAGGAATTAGTGCCAACTTTTTAACCCACTCTCACACCCAAACACAGGCACTGAGCAGTCATGGCATGGAGCAGGATGTGTAAAGTAACACTCACTGTTAAAAAGAGGCAAAGGGCCTTGGGAAGACCAAAGGCACTTATAAAAGCAAGGACACTTTTACACAGAGATGGTGAGAGAGACAGGAAGACAGAGAGACAGTGGGAGAGAATAGTAGAGGTGTGTGTGTAAGAAAGAAAGAGAGGGGGGAGATGTAGAAAGGGAGAGAGAGAGAGAGAGAGAGAGCATGAGGTAGTTATAAATAGTCAGATCATCTGGAGTACATTAGAGGTACAGTTTTTAAGTGAACAGGTCCGCTACCTGCAGCCACAGAAACCTCAGAGCATACTCTGCATACCCCCAAATACAGAGGAGGGGAGGGGGGGGGGGGGGGGGGGGAGAGAGAGAGAGAAAACATGAGAGACAATACTGCATGGAGAGAAAAACTATTAATACCGCTGCTTATTTTTCCATTGCTTCGCCAACAACTGATTTAAATGTTGAAGTACCAGACAGGGTGGGCATCTGAGAGGAAATGCCTCGCACAACACAGAGTAATACAACCTGACTGTGGTAAACCCTGGTTTTCTAAGGTATTCCAAAAGAATATCAGCGCTGCCATTAAACTGAGGCCTTGACATTAAACAAAAAAAAAATATCTGAATGAGGACGTTTGTCTCAGAACTGACTGGCACCTGCAGGCACTGATTTACAATTGGCCATTCTGCTTTTATTTATTTTTATTTTGTCAAACATGTTGCTTTTTTCCTTCCATGTAGGTGGTGCTATTAACACAGTAATAAGGACTTGGTCGGTACAATATAATATTCTATATTTGTTTAACAAAAGCTCTCCTTTAGCTTCGTTGTTCATAAATAATCTTTAATGTGTGCCTTGTTGAAAGACCCTTTCATCATGCAGGTCTTTATCCTCCAAATATCAAACTGTAAGAAAATCAGCTAAAGTAATAGTTTGTACTTTGAACTAATGACTAATAATGCTGTTTTAGACATTTTCTCTTTATAGAATCATCTTGACTTTTTCCACTCTAAGACCCTAAAATTCAAGAGTTTGGAAGTGAAGGAAGTGGACCCTCCCCCCATAGCACATTTACACTCACATACGCTGAAACCTGACACACAGGAAGTGGTCCTGCGCAGCATCATGTCAGGCTGGACAAATTATTCACAACGCATTATTCAAAACGCACCTTTTCCTCCCCTTCTTTTCCTCTCATGCCCGACTCCCTATTTGTCGTCATTGCAGTTACTGTTTTCCTTTTACCTTCTCCAGGGAGAACCAGTCAAGGAGACAAAAAGCTCTGCTACCTGTGATATCTCAAAATGAGCTGCGTTCTGTCGTGCAACAGGCCGTTGCTGTAGTTGCACAGGCTCGATATTTCTGGGAAACGTTCTCCTGCAGTGTTCCCCAAAGGTTTGTGGTATTCCTGCCCACAGTATCCCCAAAACGTTTTTAAGGAATTTCCTAAAAGGATGAAATGCACATTAATTTGAACTCTTTTGAACAGTGAAACTTCGATCCCCCTCATTTCTGTGAGGCTGTGTTATTTAAGTGTTTATAAATAAAGGTAAAGCTTTAATTTATTATTTACTGGTGAAGAATTATCCTCCTAAATCATACATTTTATTTAATTTTATAATTTATTTGATGTAATTAATGCAAAAAAGTTTAATCCAAAAGCAGCCTGGCTCCTTTGATTTGCAGCTTCACTTTTTCTGGGATGATTCAGTCCATTTCTTTTATATGGTCTGTGGCTGGACCTCACATTTGTAATATATTTTTTAATTCCCTACAGTCATATTACAGCCACTAAAGTGTCAGCATGTGCAGAGTGATCCTCACTGATTACTGTATGTTGCTATAAACCCCATAGACTGTGTGAGAGTGATGAGAGCCAGGCGTCTGTTGTTGCAGACAGGTTGTGATTCAGCCTAAAATAACAGCGTGTGGAAAATTCAATTGATTTTGTGATGAATTTTTTTTGCTTAGGTTCTCTGTTTCTCACCTTTTCTACACACACATACGCACAACTTGTGCGGTCACATTTTTATTCTTACCAAATTACTTACTCTGCTTTCTTTACTAATGCTATTCTGAGAAATAAGTTACCTATAAAGACACTATTTCATGTCACAGCAGTTCCTATATGGTTTTACTAATGATCACACAGTTATGCACCAGGAAGTGTTCACCCTATTACTGACCCGGGCTGTTACTGTGTGCAGCAGAGACAAGGGTCACAGGGGAGAGGGCTGTGTTAAGTGGAGTTTGGAAAACCAGAACTCATACACACTTTTCCCTGAGGCAAGTTTTTATGGAACAACTCTTGGTGACACACACACACACGCACACACTCATAACTGTCTGATTCAGAAGTAAACATCTTGCTCAATTCATAGTCTTGGTGCCGTGGGCTATAGTTGGCCCCACTGGCCCACCCTGCTGACCCTTGTTACTGTGGTGATTAGGTACTGGGAGGCCTCATCTGCAAACATTTAGCCAGTGTCACCCCTAATCTACTCTACCACCACCACGGGCACAGTAGCAATAATTGATTAATTGATAGAATGTAATTGATTTTACAGTGTAGCTTGTACTCTGATCAATGTGTTTCAATATTGAAACATTAAAACCATGAAAATAAGAATGTATACTTTTTGTCATTGTAAATTTGACTATTGTGTCTTTTGAAGAATGCCATGCTCTCTGGTGACATTTTGGAAAAACAAGGTTACGAGAGAAGAAAAGCCATTACATTCATTTCCTTTCTCATTAAATTACCATTTGCTGTCACATTCCGTTTTCTGACCTCTGAACTGTGACACAGCAGTCCTGCTGCTGGGTCTGTCCAACATGGACTCCGTGCCTCAGGTCAGTTGTTGGCTTACTTACTGACTATAGTGTGTTACTTGTAAAATAATGACTCACTTAAATTAACAAATAAATTATTGTTTATATTTACAATGTTGCCACTACATATCACCACGTACAAAACTGAAATACCAGATTCACTTATAAATTACTAAAAAACGTTTTAAATTCAGTTTTCCTGTCTGTAATTCTTTTAAATGATAATGTTTGGGATTGTTTTCTTATTTGTACGACTTCTTTAAATGAATTTTGGGGGATATTTATTTATATATATATTAGCAATAAATGTATTCATTCAACATTTGATTTGAAGGTGTGTTCAAAATGAATAATACACAACGCGCAGAACTCACTTTTTTGATGTGATCCCATGGTTTAATTAAGGGGAGAAACAAACATTTAAATCTAGTAATATAACAATTATGATATTTAGAAAAAAAATTACATAATGTGGATTAGTAGGGACCCCTAGTGAAACATATTGAGCACTCCACAACTTTATATTTGTGATTATATATGTACATGGTAAGGATAGTAAGGATGCATAAGGATAATATTTATGGATTGTTTGAAGAATTAATTAAAATGCAAATTTTAAAATGAGTCGGTGAATGTTTTCAGTAGCGCAGAGTTTTCAAGTGTATGTTGTTGTTTTCCCCCTGTTTTTTTCCTCCTCACGTAAACATGGTCAAGTCCTTAAAGGCATACATTTTAAAAGTTACATAAAGTTTTCAATTTATTTACAAAAATTCTGATTTGGGTCAGAATCTGCAGCGTTTATTAATGGGTTGACCGGAAATAATCAAGGGCTGTGTTGTGGTGTACAGAACGGATCTAAAGAGTGAGTGTGCTGCCCTCTACTGAAAATTGAGTAGCAACACAGAATGATTACAAGCGTCTAGTAAACCGTTCTGTGCGCCTATGTCCACCTCCCCCACGAGCTCCTGCCGGCCGATGTGACATGTAGCTCAGGTTAATGAAGTTGCCACCGGGGTAATGCATTATAGATAATCACCAGGATTGCAGATAGCGCTGGTCAACCATGTGATCAAAATGCTCTCTAGTCTCTCCTGTTCTCTTTATTAATAATGCACCTTGTTGCACTTGAACGACAAACATCAATGAAACGCTACATTGTCAACGCATATTATATTTGAGAGTAACATGCAGAAAATACAAGAGAGTGCGGAATAGCCCAAATACGGTCTGCAAGGCGTAGAATTATAAGCGGTCTAGTCTATTCTCTAGTTTAAGTGCAAATACACATGATGCAATGCATATATATGACAACTCTGAGGACGTGTCCTCATTTACAATACGGAAGGCTAATTTGACTAATTTCAGTTTTTATATTTTTTGATTGGATTCAAAATATTTGTTTTCTAACACTGCATTTAATTGTGTAAATTAAAGTAGATATAATTTTATAAACATTTTATATACATCCGTAGTTTTAATTTAAGAAGAAAAAGTACCGTATTGTTTTTCTTTTAACAGTCTTTGAACATACCAAAGGATTTTGTGTAGTCTTACTTACTTTACTTACCACTACTTACTACAATTATTTTCGGGTTTGTCTATTCATAAATGGGAATTATGTTTGTTTACTTCAGCATAGTTAACAGAATACGACATACCATTATTATTATTATATTACATATAGCTGGCACCTGCCGTAACATTCTCATTAGAAGTTAACATATTTGTTTACCTCAAAATTATTGATTGTGAAATACTTAAAAATGCAGTTTCAAACTCATAAGTCAGATTTGAAGTAAAGCGTTTGTCTTTGCATTTGGTTGTGTCAGTCACGGGTGTGTTTGTGCGTCATCGCATGTCAGCCAATCACAGGGCGGCGTCCGGAAACGCAGCAGTAGAGACGTAAAGCTGGCAAACATGGCGACAATCCGAAGAGAGTCCGGGGACTGGAAATACGACCGTTTTTAACCAAGAAAGCAGTTTTTTTCTCGCCTGTTAAAATGTGGTGGGGTTAGCCACGGCCCTCGCACGCAGAGTTTCTTAGACGATGTTTGCAGAGGTGAGTGTGGCTTAACGTTAAATGTGTCCGGGGAGTTTGTTTTCCCAGTGACAAGCAGGGCTAGTTAGCATGTAGCGGCTAGCTTCAGCGCCGTCTCTACAGGTAAACACAGGGAGTCTGTCAGGGGAAATGACGGGTTGTACCTCTGCTGTCTGTCTGCTATATGTGGCACATAGCCCTGGATTACACCTCCGACGCCCACTTAATGCGATGAACAGTGCTGGAATTAGCTTCACGTTCAGCAAGTAGTATTAGTGACAGTATGCGTTTAGATTATGAGTGACGTCCCTCGCCAACGAATTTCTGCATTTCAAGAAATCAAGGTGAGCTCAGTGTTAGCCCTCTTGCGAGTAATGCGAGATAAAACCGTATGTAAATTGTGTAGAAGTGATTTCTGGAAGGTGGGTGGCCTCTTACATACATTACGCAGTGACAGGTAATTATCGGGCATTTGTGTCTTACTGCACTTCCTTCTCATTCCACTTAAACTCTGGGGGGACTCTGACACGTTTTTATATAGCTACACATTAGTATTCGACCTGTCTGGAAGATTAAAACATTTCTCTTGCCAGACTCGGACAACTAGGTTATCTCAGGCTTGTCCTGAAATATTAATAGTGTACTGAGAGACCACTGTAGGTCCCCAGTCATTGCATGGATTGTTTGAAGAATTCTAAAGTATTTGCTTAGTGTTATGCATTAACCTGCCCGTTCCCCTGCACCTGCTACTATCAATGCAGTTTAAATGCCATGTTCCACAGGTTGAATTGTAACTTGTTAGTCTGAGATCATTGATAAATCCTGAACCTTTAAGTGTTTATTATAAATTACTTTTCTTAAGTTTTCTCAGTTTCAGTTGAGAACATGTTGCTCCAAAATAATAATTGTAATATTAATTTAGGGTATTCAAACTGTTCAACAAAAATGTATAGCATGAAATATCTTTATTTTTTGTGTTTGCAAACTCTTTTTTTGTATTTAATTCAATTGTCTTTGTCCACATTATAATATGTTAGGCCTGGCAAAAAACAATATACCACTGATGTAGGTAGGAAGGGAATGCCATTGTATTGGCTGAGATTGACATGATGTTTATGCTTGTTTGTAAGTGGCATTATCAAGTCAAAGTCACAGAACATTTCTGGAATGTATAAGGTCTCTGATCCAGCCTGTGATCTTTTTTCTTTGTGCTCATCTTGTCCCTTTCATTTGTGCTACGGTTGTCTTCATATATGCCGCCATATCAAGTCTCATTCCACTTCAGCACTTAATCTAGCCTCCACTGCTAAGGAATGATCAGACTCATTTACATAAAAACCTACTCCACCCTACCCCCCCCCCCCCCCCCCCCCCCCCCCCCCTTTTGTGTGGGTTGACCCTTTTGTGTGGGTTGATGATACTGTGAATACAGAAAAAATATATCACATTTAGTTTATGACGGAGATTACTAGGGATTGGCATGAGTTTTCCAACAATGTTAAAGAGCTAGCATCAACTGACTCATCCATTTGACCTGCAGAAGGTGTGAACATAACCGCACCCATAGATCAACACCAGATGTCAAGCGTTGTCATCCGACATTGTAAATTTGTTGGTGCTGAGAGGAAATACTGCCCTTATCTTGAAAGAGAGCTGAAGACCTGCTTCCCTTCAGTGGAAGAATACAGTATGCACTTGTTCAGCCAGACTTTGCAGTTGGGATTTACATCATTTCCAGACAACAGAAAGATTGTGCTGTTAATTCATGTCACCATATGAATTGAATTCAAACATTCATATAAAACCTCATACACAAGGTCTGGGCACTTCATACGTAGTATCACATCATAGTGACTGTTGATATGAGCCCACGGACTGCACTTTGTGTACTTAATGCCTGCAGTATGAGCCCACAGCCTATTATTAGACTAAATTGCGATCACACAGTGATAACACGGCAGTGTTTCTTCTCTATGTAGTTATGTTATGACAGCAGCTGGCAGGATGCTGACACAATGGTAAGGTAGCACAAGTGTTTCTCTTTTCTGTAGAAACCAGTGAAGTTTCAACATTCATCACTTTCCTTTGCTGACCATTTATTAATGAAATATTTTAATCCAGCTGTTACTCATATGCTGTATGCTTAAATGAAATATTTCTCCCACAGTAACATACTTCTGTTACTTTTATTAGTTAAGTTCAGTTCACTGTCAGGCCATGCAAATATTGTGACCCAGACAAAGCTCAGTTTAACAAAGAAATTTGTCTTGTCTGTTATTACTTGAATGCGCGGATGTCCGGACAGCAAAATGTGTCCAAACAGGCTCAACTACTCCTTCTTTTGCAAGTCATGACTGGTTGGAACAATTGTAGGCTTAATGACAACAGTGAGAGAACGTGGCGGTTGAAGGAGACTCCTATTGTTATGGTTTGAGCAACATCAAAAGAGATATGAAGGAAGTCTCTTGTAAAGACTACTAGGTGTACATCGTGCCAGAAATAATTGGTCTATTTAAAGACATAAAAAATTACACACTAGAGTCAGGCTGTCATCCATTTGAACCTATGTAAAGTTCATCCAGCAGGTCACGGTATTGTATACAGACACAAGATAACAGTGTGATAACCCTCTCACAATTGCTTGGGTCCACCTGATGTTGACCAATCACTTGGCTGGACAACAGTTATCTTGCTCATAGCACAGTCTGATACATCAGCTAATGCTTGTTCAGGTCTTTTGAAGTATTGAATTCAAACCTGATTAACTTCGCATGGGCTAAGAACCAAGTGCAACGATGTTTGTTGATGTAGTATATTCAAAAGAACTGATAAGAGCAAACTTCTCTGTCCGTTTAGGTACACTTCCAAGACATCTGAAGAATAGGAATCCCTGCACATCCTTATGTATCAGCGACTTATAGGGAACACTTTCTAGTAGTGGTGCATTCAGTGGCATGCTTGCATGAGAACGTATTTAAACATTGCTCATTTGGGTAACATTAGTAATGTGTGACGTCAGTGATGCCACTGTGTAAAAGCAGCAGTGACAGCAGCGGGTGACAGGGTAGCCTGTGAGTAGAGCGTTGTTGAGAATGACTAGGCTGCGGAGGCTTGGCTTTATATGAGATTTGATAACCAACACTCTTGAGTCATTACAGCCAACCATCTGTTCTGGTGATTAACACCAAAGCCCATCACACACACACACACACACACACACACACACGTAAACATCCAGGCAGATCACAGTGATTATACAGATAAAACAGCACTATACACATGACACATGACAATAAACATAACATGTGGTGCACTTATTTAAACACACAACCATGCACTTAACCCAAAAATTGGTATAGCTGTCATAAAAGATGAATGTCTTAATTGGTTGCCCTAATTTCAGGCAGATTAATGTCATTCTTAATGAGCGTCTTAAAGGTTATAATTTTTGCCACATTTCAGGCCACGGCTTAAAAACTACTTATGAGGAGATGTTTCTATCCTTGTCATCCTCTCATCAATTCAATGTTGAAATTGTTTGAAATTGTGCTAAAAGCAGCATCTTAAGCACTCAAATTGATTTCCTATTGACCTTTTTTAGCCTAAGCCGATGGAAATCCTTTATTTGTTTTCAAGCTCAAGTGCTGTGACCGTCGAGAAGATGCACAAATCACAGTGGCTTGAAAGGAGACAACCCAAATGACAGACTGTTGTGTGACATCTGAGTAAAATTACAGCTCTGCTCTCCGAGCTGTGGAATTTATGGAGCCTGATGTGCCGTGGAGCTGCAGCAGGTCAGATGATGTCCGCCGCGGAGGTGGTTGTAACATTTTCTGTGGAGGAATTTGGTTCCACACATGCCAACAAAGACGTGTCACGGTGCTGTCCACTTGTTACTGGATTACTAAAGGACGAAGTTATACTGGAGTATTGTGATAAACCTAGACATCTGCAGTAGTCTTGCACAAAATTATTTATTTATTTATGTAGTGGTTTGAAGCCAAATGTTACAGCTATAACAAACATAAATGTTTCCAGTTCTGTTTTATCATTCTCTATAAATTAAATGAAAAAAAAAACAGTATACATTTTCTATTCCTTTCTGCATGCAGTGGTGCTACTAAACATAGTTATCTGGGATTTGACCCATGTTCCAGACACACTGTTCAGCCAGGTTAATGTATGTCATCGATTGTCCGTAGATGGATGTGCCAGAGAGAACAATCTGTCAGTGTCCTGAAGTAGCTCCCTCTGTTTCCATCTCTCTTTCCTCACCCTGGTCATCCCTCCTCCCTGCCCTCCCTATCTGGCTTCATCAGTGGAGCTGATTATCTAAAGAACTTGGCATAAGAAAGTAGGACAGCTGGAGATCATCACTGCTGATCATCACAAAGTCTGTCACTAACCTTGAAGGCCGCACCATGTGACTGTCAAGAGTTTTCACACCTCACCACTGTATAATGTGTAGTAAAATGGCATTTTTCACATTAGTATATGGTGAGTGGCACAATGCTACAGTTTTTTTTCTTCTCTTTGCATTGCACGGCCCGGTTTCACATGACCGTCTCCAGCCTGCTGCTGGAGTTTGTGTAGGTTCATCTTTCACTTAACAACTCACAGCTCCTGGTCCACGTTAACCAAAACACCTGTGCTCTACATACCTGTACAACCAGATGAATACTGTTTATTTTAATTAGTTAGACATTAGCATTAAGAAAAATAATTGATTGTTACCACAGAGTCTGACTGAACACTGTCATCTGTTCAGCTGGAATTTGTATCTGCTGTACTGTAAATACTGCTGACTTTGTATGTAATGCAGTCAGAGCTCACTCTGCTGGATAAATTAGGTGAAGACATTATTCTTTCTATACAAAAAAGCGATATTGTGTCTACTAAGCAGAAATTGGCATTTAATATAAATCAGGTGTATTATTAGTGATAAAAAGTCGCAATTATTGTGTCTTTGAATAACAGGGAACATTAAATGTGTGTTTTGTCTTTTTCTCTCAGGCCAGTCTGTCCATCTGGGGATGGGGGGGTCTTGGAGTTGTGTTGTTTCTCGTCACCTTTGGACCCTTTGCCATTTTCTACCTGGCTTTTTATATCTTCTGCTTTGTTGGAGGGTAAGCACCAGCTTATAATCCTACTTCACATCTTCAGATGACAGGAGCTCCAACTTATTACATCTTCACCTCTGTTGGTTCCTCAGGGGTTTTGTGGTCACTCTGCTTTATGGAAAAATCAACTCTGAGAAATACCTGGAAAAATGCGAGCATTCCTACCTTTCACCTACACAGATTGGTATAGTAAAGGTACAACAACTGTGAATAACTGACATATTGCTGATTCATTATTGTCCTTGAATACATATTAATTCCAAGATCACAAAATGTTAATTAATTGAGTTCTGTATTTTGAAGATATTGGATGAAATGAAGCTGGAAACAAGGACGATAAAGATCGACCGGAGACTGACAGGCTCCAGTTTTATCGACGAACCACTACAACAGGTCCGTTCGACCTTGTACCAGGAGGAGCTTTGCATTTACATGGTGTCACTATAGAATTTTAAGATTGTTTTCCTTTACAGTTAGCTCCAAAAAGTTTTCTTTATCTGATTTTCAATATGTGAAGTATATTTAAATAAACGTGTTTTCTAGAAAATAAACAAGCACACTGCAAGTGCATAAATTTTCTTTTGACAATTGACAATTTAGAGTCTGAGTGTAATCATTCATTTCTCTCCACTAATGTTTTCTAGAGACAGTGAATGGTTATTGCTGCTATAACTGTTATGACCACAGTGCCAGTGTTGTAGAAATCATGTGCCGTTAGTGAGGTTGGTTTGTGATTCAGGTTCAAGATTTTGAAAGTTTTTCTGACTTTGAAAACAAGTTTTGTCATTTTTGTGTGGTCACAAAAAACTTCCACCACGACCTGTGCCATCAACATAACATGGACAGGAGGTGTTAGCTTGAGTCTGAGAGCCGTGTTTAGACTTTGTAAAAAAGAAAAATCATATATAAAGAGGTTCCTGCAAGTACTCATGTACGCATACTGTCATTTTAATGGTTTAACTTTTCTTCCTTCGTGTTCTCTCACTTTCTAGGTGATCCAGTTTGCTCTGAGAGATTACATCCAGTACTGGTACTATACTCTGAGTGAAGACGAATCCTTTTTATTAGAGATCAGACAGACACTACAGAATGCCCTGGTCCAGTTCTCTACACGGTACAAGAGCCAAACAAAATAAATATGTTATATATATTTTTTCAAATTTTTCAAAATTTTTTTCTATTTCTTTGAACATTTGTGTGTCAAGGTCTAAAGAAGTGGACTGGCAGCCTTACTTTACTACTCGCCTCGTCGATGACTTTGCCACCCATTTGCGTGTCTTTAGAAAAGCACAGGATCGTCTCCCTGACAGAGACGACAAGCAGAGTATGCTATAAACTTTCAATAATGTTTTTTTTTTCCTCTAATAAGCTGTAGTTTTGGGGAGGGGTGCCGTGGGATGTGACAACGTGAATGTAGTTGTGGTGTAGAATAATAATAATAATTTCAAATACAGGAGACATGTCAGAGGAGCTGGTGGACTCATTTTTTGAGGCTGAAGTGGAACTGGAAAGGAAGATTTGTCGAGATGTCGTGTGCACTTCGCACAGGGACGAAGAAGGTACACACACCTCTGGGAACGACTTTTGTATTTTACACTCGGCACATCAAATGTTACTGCTGTGTGAGCTCGTCGTAAGTAAAAGTCAAACAAACGCTGTGCCTGTGTTTGTCTGTGTGTCAGGTTTCCTTCGAGACTTGTGTGAACTGCTTCTGTATCTGTTACTACCTCCTGGAGATTTCCACAACAAGAACATGAGATACTTCCTACGGGTAAGGACACACACACACACATTGCTGTCACACTTACTCACCTGTCTCATCTTGTTTTAATTATATTGTTTAAAACACACTTAGGTCTTATATAAATTCCTGTATCTGCCACAAGCCTCCTATCTTTGTCATGATTTTAGGAGGTCTTGGCTCGTGGTGTGCTGCTACCCCTGATCAACCAGCTTAGTGACCCAGATTATATCAACCAGTTTGTCATCTGGATGGTGAGAAGAGAGAATTGAAACTATCATTGTTCTGTAACAACACCCAGGATTGGACTGTAATTATTATTATTGCACTTGTGTGTAGATTCGCGACTCCAGCTGTAACTACGAGGCCTTCCTGAACATCCTGAAGCTAACAGACAAACCTGCGGAACTGGAGGCTGTCAAGGACAAGGTTGTGGAGGAGCTACAGTATCTACGATCCCTGGACACTGCTGGAGATGGTGGGTGGTCTCTAGAACTAATACACACTTTTACCTTAACCCTAAAATTGATCACCCCGACAAAAAACTAAAACGAACTGAAACCAAGTTTAATTTTGAAGTCCATATGTGACAAGATTAGATTAATGTCTAAATGACAAACTGGACCTTAATAAATATAGTCCATGGTACAAGAATTGCTTAACAGATACTCACCCAAGCAATTTCCTGAACTGAAGAAAAAAAGAAACTTACAAGAAAAAAGAGTTAAATAAATAATAAATGCCTTTTACTTATGTCTTTCTAAAGTCTGTATGTTATTTTGTTTATTAGACATCAATGTCATCAAGAACCAGATCAACAGTCTTCTCTTTGTGAAGAAAGTGTGTGAGACCAGGGTACAGAGGTTACAGTCTGGCAAGGTAGGAGCCCAGAGAGATGGTCAAGGCATACATTTGAATTATTTAATAAGATTTAAGATAATTTAAAATCTTTTTTTTTAAAAATCTGCAAAACCATTTTTACACCGTTTTTAAACCTGTCTCATCTTGTGTCTTTTTGTAGGAGGTGGATGCCCTGAAGCTAGCAGCTAACTTTGGCAAGCTCTGTGTTATCCCACTGGAACACATCCTCGTCCACAACATTGCACTGCAGTTCTTCATGGGTAATTCTGATAAAGCATTTTCACGTTAACCAGAGTTCCAACAATCGCGCGAGTCGTCCAGCTACATTACTCATGAACATGTACGCTCATCCTTTTATAATCCATAACTCATTCAATCTGTCCGTAGTTTACTTTAGTTATGCTTCTCATGATTATCACACGACAGTGTCCAAAGTCCCCTTGACAGAGCAGAAGACAATGTTTATCAACTACAACTTAAGCCATGTCTGCTGTGGAAAAAAATGTCATTGCTTGTGGCTGTAGTCAGAAAAGTATTGTCTTCATAAAATTATTAAAAGTTTAAGTTTGTCATTACATGACAATTCACCATGGTCTCATTTTCAGATGATGTTAGAATAAAACTGAAAGCAAACATTTAGTTGTGGCAAAATAACCTGCTGATGCTGCAGAATTCACTCTCTTTCTTGATGCAGTTTTCTATTTAAAATAATTTAGCTGTGTGTAGAATCATTGCTTCTTCTGGACCAACCTCTGTGTCTCTGTTGATCCAGACTACATGCAGGCAGCAGGGGCACAGGCTGAGCTGTTCTTCTGGCTGACTGTAGAGGGTTACAGGGTGACGGCACAGCAGCAGCTGGAGGTCATGCAAAATTGGCAGAAGGATGGGAAGAAGCAACCCAGCGCCACCAAAGGGCTGCTGAAGGCCGCTGCACTGGGTGTCTACGAACAATACCTCTCAGACAAGGTTGGAAGCAGACTAGCTGCAGCGTCATGGTCAGTGCTGTTGGCAGAATACAATTCTAACGGTTGTGTTGTCCGTCGACATTTCTCTGTTTGCAAAAGGCGTCTCCAAGGGTGCAAGTGGACGAGGCATCGGTGATAAAACTGGGGGAGAAACTGCAGAGGGACGATCCAACACCAGAAATATTTGATGACATTCAGAGGAAGGTACAAAAACATCCAGCTATCCCTCTGATCATGTCTTCCTATCACATATCGTAACACACTTTTTTGACCACTGCTCATTCACACTGCTGTCTTTTCTCCCAGGTGTACGACATGATGCTACGAGACGAGCGCTACTATCCATCCTTTAAGCAGTGCCCTCTCTATGTCCGCATGCTAGCAGAGCTGGATATGTTGAAGGAACCGAGTTACAGAGGATCCGAAGACGGTGATGGAGAATCATTTAACGGCTCGCCTACAGGGAGCATTAACTTAGTAAGTCATTGTCCTGTAGTTCTATAGCAGGGCTCAGGAGAAGACTGACGTTCATGCCTTTAATTTTTCTTTGTGAATAATTTAACGCTTTTTATTGTAATAACATAGTTGATTGAACCCTAATTGTTGTGATTTTTAGTCTCTGGACGACTTTTCCAATTCCTGCCATGATGAATCTATGCACCTACATGCCTACATCTCTGACACAGGTAAACAGAAACACACACACACGGTAACTCCTCCTCTAACTTTTTCTGAGTTTGATTTAGGTTTTATGTGAATTTCCAGCCTCTCTCTGCATGTTTTATTCTTCAAACCTTAATTTCCCAACTCCATTCATCTGCAACTTTGTCACTTTCTTCCTGATTTATTTTTCCTTGTTTCTTCCATTCAGTCACTGTCACTGTTTTGTTTTCCCCCTTTCCTTCCTTTTTCTTTCTGTCATCTCCACACTTGTGCTCTCCATTCTTTATTTTCCTTGCGCTTCCTCCCCACTTTTTCTTTTCCCACTCCTTTCTTCCTTCTGCTTACATCAAACCTCCTCAAACTCCATCGGATTAATTGCCCCATCCAGTAGCTGATGCTTTTCTCCCGGGCTTCTCGGGTGCTACAGGGGTCTGCAACGACCACGGCAAAACCTATGCGCTGTACGCCATCACTGTGTTCAGACGCAGCCCCGACGGCAGTGAAGATTGTTGGAAGACCTACCGACGCTATTCCGACTTCCATGACTTCCATATGAGGATCACTGAACAGGTAGTGTCCACAGCAATGTTTGTGTGGCGGTCGTTGTAAAAGTCAAGAAAAGAAAGGTAACACATTAGAAACTTAAAGTTAAACTTAAAGTTGATTTATTTTTGCATACTTTGTTGTAGTTTGAGAACTTAGCATCAATCCTGAAGCTTCCAGGAAAAAAGACCTTTAACAACATGGACAGAGAGTTTCTGGAGAAGAGGAAAAAAGACCTCAATGCTTATCTACAGGTAACGTTATTGACAGTGTTTTTTATCTCCAGCTGCCCGACTGTTTCCTTCAGAATTATACTTTTAATATTTATCCATGTAACTTTGTAAAATTTGAGTTTTTGTTATTCATCCAGTTAATCTGGTCTAACAGTGATGGACCAGAATGCCCCTGGGTGGACCTAAAAATTAGTATAGAAGAGTTTTTAGTAGAGCAGAAAAGGCAAAACGCGAATAAATGGTTCATTGTTTTTGGCTTGTTTCAGGGAAAATTAATCACATAAAACAGACATTTTTAGGTCTTCCATAAATGAATCTGTCTCTGTGTGTGTATTCTTTTTTTTCAGTTGCTGCTTAACCCAGAGATGGTGAAGGCCTGCCCCACTCTCATCCCTTACGTCTATGACTTTCTAGAAAATAAGGCCTACAGTAAGGGCAAAGGAGAGTTTGCTCGAAAGGTCTGTTGAGGTTTTTACACAAAGTAAATGTACATTTCACCTTCCTGTATATGCTACAGGGCTATTGCATTATTGCTGTTATTACTTTAATACTCCAAAACTTGATAGTTCAAGTTTTCCTTGTTGTTATTTTATTGTGTGTTTTTCTTTTTTTCTTTGGTCACAAATATATTTGCTAAAATACAGTTTTCTTTTCAATTTTCTCATCAGATAGACACGTTTGTTAATCCTTTGAGGAGCTCCATGAGGAATGTGTCTAATGCGGTCAAAGCCCTACCAGACAGTTTGGCTGAAGGGATGACCAAGGTGTCTGACAACATGGGACGCATGTCAGAAAGACTGGGCCAAGACATCAAACAGTCCATACTAAAGGTGAAACCATCATTACTTCTATTTAACCTCTGCTGTTTGTCTTCATGCCTTCATTGACGGAACCTCTGCTTTTGTATGGTCCGACCTCTGCGCTCCCAGGTGCCTCCACTTCTTCCTAAGGCTGAAATTGACCCTGAACATTGTCGAGTATCTGCACAGCTTGACGACAACGTGAGTGGGTTGTGTTGTCCTTATCCGTCTCTGTGCTTGACAAAAACAGCCATTGAATGCCCTGTCTGTCCAGGTGGATGACAACATCCCACTGAGGGTCATGCTGCTGCTGATGGACGAGGTGTTTGATCTAAAAGAGAAAAACCAGTGGCTGCGCAGGAACATCAAGAACCTGCTGCAGCAGCTCATCAGAGCCACATACGGAGACACTATCAACAGGTCTGAGACACCCAGCGGTTTATTATTAAAGAAATGTTATGTAATGTCAGTTTCACGTGATGATTACAGATCATTAAATGTGTGGAAAAGAATTCAGGAATTCAACTTGTAACCTTAACAGTGCTCTTTTTGTCCTTGTAGAAAAATTGTGGAACACGTGGACTACATGACTTCACCGGAACAAGTGGCAGATTATGTCAAGAGGTTCAGGTAAGCCTATTCATCACTACCTTTACACCTTACTTAACCTCTCTGGTCACTGTAATTTGTAGTAACAGTTGACTGTTCAAACAGAGATTCCTATTGGCCCAATGGAATACTGGCTGAGACCCTGCCTCGTCGGGACAAGAGCGTCCGCATGCGGACACGAGTAGCTGCTAAGACTAGCCTGCTGGGTATCATGCCAGGTAAAATCACACAATTCAGTGTCCCATTTATCTACACTGAGTATAACAGGGCAAATTTTGGTTCAACAATTTTATGTCCCACTATATTTCTTGGCTGAATTTTGGCAATGCATGATAAAATATCTTTTTGGCATTTTATAGTCAGGCTTTAATTACATTTTTGGGGGGAGGGGGGAGTTGGCATTTCTGGGACTTTTAATTATGTTTTTTGTTTTTAAAATGTTTGGGAAAAGTCATAATATAGTTCTGATTTTTTGGTCAATTATTGACTGAGGAAACAGGACATAAGAAAGTGAAAGACTGCCTTCCACTGAACTTCCAATAAATCACTTGTGAACAAATTTTTTTTTCATGTTTATTAAAAAAACACACACACAAAACAGACAGGGTTGCTGGCCATTTGGCCTCTTTGCACTAGAAAGCATGCTGCAATGAACTATTTCCCAGGATTGTAAAGGCCTCACTGACATTACTCTGCTTCAGGTCAAAGTCCAGTTCATACAGTGATAAGTCTGAAGACTTCTCTAATATCTCTCCTCTTCTGTCCCTGCCACAGATGAACTGAAGCATATAATGGGAGCAGACACTACGAGAAAGGGGATCCTGGGCGTCTTCCACATGTTCCAGTACCAGCCCATGAACTGTCGGCTGGTCTATGTATTCCTGGTGGGCTTCCTGGAGACCATGTTCCCCCTTTCGCGAGCTCTTTGTGAAGCTGCACTCTCACTCACCACGTAACCATAAATATTGTGAGAAACTTAAATCCTCCTCCTTGAAGAGGTGACAGGAAGAAGACGATGATGACCTGAACGTCTTAACACAGTCGGACTTCAGAGGTAAGGGTAAGGGGCTTGATGTGAACAATGACGTGTGTGTAGCTGAATTTCTACCCTTCCATTCTGCTCACACACTCTGTGGTGAAAACACTCCTATTTATCCAGCGTAAAGTTTCTGTCAAGGCAGAAAACATGGATGAACAACAGAACCTTCTCTCTCTCCCTGTGACACACACGCACACATGCGCAAACACAAACAAATCCTGTAATTTGCACCAAGACTGAACATCAGTCTTTTATTTTAGCTTCTCTATTTTCTCCTACTTGTCAGACCTTTTAGTTGCATTCAGCTTTATCCTGGACAAGTCAATGCTGCTTCACGTGGTCTGGAAACAAGACCACAGATACTGTATTCTTTTTAAACTGCATAGACCCACAATTCGACTTACCTGCCCGTGTCTGTCCGCTGTTCAACTCTGAACTGATCACTCCTCAGCTGTCAGCCTGTTGTAGAATCTGCACATTGATAAAACATGCAACAACATTGTTTTCAGAGCAACCAAATATGTCCATGTCACTGGGTCAACGAGGCGCTGTTTTTAAAAATGTGACTGAACAAATATCCATCCATTTTCTTTCGCTTATCCGTTCCCGGGTCGTGGGGGCAGCAGTCTCCAGGACCGACACCCAAACCACACCTTCCTATGAAACAAGTCACAAACACAGGAGGATCTGCTCTAAGTGACCGGTGAACCAGCCTTAAAAAAAAAATCACACACTAACAGAGATGCACTCTGGAGGAAAACGTGTGTGGGATCGTCAAAGCAGGACCAGACGTTTTGTTGTTATAAACTGACAGCTGAAGGGACACGCCCTCTCCCCCAGTTGGATTAACTCACAGGAGAGTTGCGTCCTGTTTGACCAGCTTTTACAGCACTTACCGTAGCAACTGTGTCGAGGTCGTTTGATGGAGCTGCTTTGTCTGCTGTGATCATGAGGTGAAACAATGTTTTATTTTTGTCGTCCAAGCCTCTCGGCTTCACCTAAAATCGTGCTTTTTTTTATTTTCTAAAAAAAGCTTATGCTTTTCCCTTCATCTATTTCTGTATGTACTGGCTTGATGATGGGATATTCTAAACATTGCTGTGCTACAGAGTGATAATCATGTGAAGAAATAGACAGCTGTGTCAACTTTCAAGGTGAGGCTATGAAACAAAATCCCCAAGCGCAAAATCACGGAACGTATCTTCTGGTCTAAGTCCACACTTGGCTCCTGTTAAAGTTGCGCAAATGGGTTTAAGTGTGTGTGTGTGAGCGTCTGTGTTTTTTGCTGTCTCTGGCCAGAAAGTGTGCCAGTGGAGCTTGGGAACCAGCCTTAAAAAAAAAAAAGAATCACACACTAACAGAGAGATGCACTCAGGAGGAAAATCTCCCTCACATGACTGAATCTGATGAACATGGCGATATGGAGATATATCCCTAATCAGTTTTATTCAGAGAAAATTAATTTTGTGCAATATGTTTTTCCTTAAATGCATGTGCATTTGAATCACTATATACTGATACTAAGTAATTCTGTTGTTTTTCTTAGCAAACAAAAACGCAGAGAAATCCCCACTGATGTCTTCTTGTCCCAACAACTTAACATTCCGTTGTTGTAAAGTACAATGTTACATTTTAACAGACTTGTTTTATAAGTCTGGTGTTTAGTGTTTGGATTTTTGTTTGATGTGAGTGGGGGTATTTTCTTCTTTGCCCTCACCTGCGTGTGCAGAATCTGTTCTCTGATGGTGCAGTGTGGACGTTGGGTCTTTGTCACCGCCTTGGAAATAAGCTAAAAGAGGCGAGAGGCAAAAGTCAGACAACTGAAACTACTACAATCCTGACTGATGTTTGTTTTACATGTGTGGGATCGTCAAAGCAGGACCAGATGCTTTGTTGTTATAAACTGACAGCTGAAGGGACACGCCCTCTCCCCCAGTTGGATGGACTCACAGGAGAGCTGTGTCCTGTTTTGACCAGCTTTTAGAGCACTTACCGTAGCAACTGTGTCGAGGTCGTTTGATGGAGCTGCTTCGTCTGCTGCGATTTGCTTCCACTGAGCAGCCGCGTTGGATACTCAATCGACTGAGATGGAGGACATGGACTGGATATGTCAACCTGGGAGGTGAAGTTTGTCCCCCATGGTGGAGGCATATGTCACCTTTAACTTTCTGCACACCTGTTCAAACAGGAACGCTTTTTTAACCCCACTATATATAGGAATCTATTATGACAAAATGTGTGCAGATCTGTGTACAGTATGTGTTAATAGTGTGCCTAAATGTACTGTCAACTCTATTTTCATATTTTTCTTTAACCTAAAACAAAAAAAACAACCACGATCATTTACTGCAACTGAAAGTGAATCTAGGGATTTTTTTTTTTTTGCATCATGCTTATCAAACTTTTTCTCATGAGCAGTTCTGAGATCAGTATAACACTAATAAAAAGTAACTCAGATTAACTGTGCCACATTGTATCTGGCGTCTTAATTGCATTTCTAGTTGCAATTTCTAGTTTACAAATGTAAACAAATCAAATAGAGCCACCAACAGTGTCCTCAAATTTAACTGAAATTTTTATTGAATAAATCATTGTTGGATCTGGTGAGTAAACATGTATAGTATACGAGTAAGATGTAAGACAACAACAGAATCTAACAAAGTGCCTTTGAGACCAACACGTTATTATTTAAAATCTAGAAAGTTCCAGTCACTGCTCAGCTCTCAAATGCTAGTTAAATTCACGTGATGCTCGTTGGCCTGACATCCTGAGTCCCATGGCTGGATGCTGCGAATAGTACAAAGCAAAAGTCCAGCATCAAACAGTCTTCAGTCCTCTGTCTTTTTTTGTTTTTTCATCGTTGCCAACGATGACAAAAATACCCCACGCAGCCAAACCTGAAACAAGCAGACAGTCATTACACACGACCATGTCTCCAAAATTAATAACAAGAAAGGAGGCCACATCATAGTAATGTAAAATCCACAACAGACTTACCAGTAGCGAAGGTGAGTTGTGCCATTTTGCCTATAGTACCTCTCGCTGTGCTTGCCCAGGTAGATTTCTGGCTCATCGCGAACACATAAGCTGCAGCTCCGATCAAACCGCCACCGGAGACGAGACGACAGCTGAAGCAAGCATTGGGAGAAGGATGGCTGGGAGACAAACCACCTTTTCCGGCTTCTGCTAGTGCATTTGGAGCTGTCGACATTGCACCGCTAATGCTGATGGTCAAGAATGAAAAGCAAGGAAAAGTGTAAGTGCAAGAAAACTAATTAATACCATTTACGCCAGTGCTTCCAGTTTCTTCTTTCACCTGTGGATTATCAAAAAACAATCATTTTTTTAATTCCAAATTGTGTTGTTATTGCGTTTAACACTAAGTGTCGAGTTCCAAATATTCTTCCGGTTCATAAACTGACCTTTCAAACATTTACTTTCAAAATAAGAGTTTTTAAACGTCACATCCATGTTTACCAAAACCCCACCCCACCGGACTGGTGTGTATGTGTGTTACGGTTGTCCGTGTCCGGTGAGTGGTCATGTTTTTGTCAGCTCTGATATATTGTTATCTTTGTTCATCTTTAAGGTTCGGTGAAGCAGTGCTAAGCGCGGGGTCTTCGTATGTTGCCGCTGTGTATGAGCATCGTGTGTTCCTGAACCCGGAGCCCCGAGTCCCGCTGTCCCGCTGCGATGCCCTGAAACATGTGCAGAAAAACTTGGATATTTACGAGGAACAGGCTGCCCGCGCCGCGAAGCAGGTGAAAATAATATATAGCAGGTTGTCTCAAATTTAACATTTTTATTATTTTATTTTTTCTGTGCTGCATTTTGTGCAGCGTAGAAGTTGCAAATTGTGTTTACCTATTTGACAGTCGGGAACCAACCGTAAGTACCTTGAATTCTATTATAATTAGGAGTCGTTTGCATGTACTGTACGTCTATTTGCTAAAGCACTAATCACATATCAATGAGCTGTTTGTGTTTTGAAGGACATTTAAAATGGGAAAATTAAAATTGAAGACAAAGTATAAACGGTTATATCTCTGACATGTCAGAAAGTGTTTACGGTGAATGACAGGTGACAATTTAGAAACATGTCATATAGGAGTCTCCAAAGGCTCTGACAAGTTTTATCTCCATGTCGTTGTCGAACAGTAACTTGTGTTGACCTTTGCACAAGGTTTTGATCTAGCGTCATCTGATTTTTCTCCCATTAAAATGTAAGAATAGAGACCTAGAAGCACTAATGGTTCGGTAATGATTAATACATTTAAGAAATGACAATGCATATTTCTAGAATGTTAATAACTCTCAAGAAATACAGTTTTAATTAAGAAATTAATACAGAACCAAAACAACATGTATGGAATTAAAAACAACAACACAGGGCTAGATAAAGCAACTTTTATTTTTAACATTTTTTCACAAAACACAATCAAAATATTATGAGGAAAACAAACAAACATGACTTTGTATGCAAATGGTTCCTACTGCTAACCAATTTTTTAAGTGAACTTTTCCCAGATTTCCGACAACACTCAGAAGTGCCGAGCTGAGGATGTTGTAGGTTGTGATTTTGGGATGAAGGCTTTAATGTCCACGAAGTAGAACATTATTAGCTTCATTGTTATGTTTTCTTATTTTACTAAAATGCATGCTTTCTTACTGAAATCATTACTGCCATGGTGTACTAATGATTTCATAAGAATGACACAAAAACAAGCAAGACTATAGTCTTACTATCACGGTAAAATGCAAAAAACTAGTCCCAAAATGCCTCAAAATGCAAGTGTATGGCCAAAAACATAAAGGTTTAGTGTTTTATTTTGTTTTTTTTTAATGTCTAAAAATGTTTGACTTCCTCTTGTTTTAAAAAGACATCATGATCTGTTCAGATTAATTTTCTTTGCCTCCAACCATCTTACCTCACTCAGGGCGCTCAGATCCTAGTCTTTCCAGAGGATGGTATTCAGGGCTTCAACTTCAGCCGATTATCCATCTCTGGCTACCTGGAAACCATCCCTGACCCCCAGCAGGAGAAATGGAATCCTTGTAAAGAGCCAGGAAGATATACCAACACTGAGGTGCAAGGTCACTTTTTTCTTTTTACACTTTTTTCTTATTCTATTGTATTGCAGTCATTGCATCCAATTAGTGATTGATGTGTCCAATTACACTCACACCTTAGATTCTTCAGAGGTTGAGCTGTATGGCACATGGTTACAACCTCTACCTGGTGGCCAACATGGGTGACCTGCAGCCCTGCCCCGTGGAGCCCAGTTCTTCTTCCTCCTGTTCACCTGATGGACACTGGCAGTTCAACACTAATGTCGTTTTCAGGTGCATTTTAAACACATCATTAAATAAAATGAATGAATGTCCAGTGACTGATACCATTCTTCACACAGCTCCGATGGTCAGTTGGTGGCACGATACCATAAACGCAACCTTTATTTTGAAGAGGCCTTTGACACACCACCACAGACTGAGATCATCACGTTTGACACACCTTTTGCTGGGAGGTTTGGTCTTCTCACCTGCTTTGACATCCTGTTCCATGACCCCACAGTCGTCCTTGTGGAGAGGGTAAAAAAAAAAAGATCAAATGGCACTTTGCTTTGCTCTAAAGTTTCCTCCTCAACATCTTTGTTTTGCACCTCCAGGGTGTGCGTCAGTTTATTTTCCCCACAGCCTGGATGAACCAGCTCCCCCTGCTGGATACTATCCAGTTCCAGAGAGCTTTCAGCCTGGGAGCCAACGTCACTTTATTAGCATCCAACATTCGCAACGATCATCTAATTATGACAGGAAGTGGTATGTACACCCCTTTCACAGCGACCTACCACCACGCCCGGCAAGGAGACCCAGAAGAGGGCAGGCTACTGGTGGCCACGCTACCCGTCCTGGAGGAGAGTGGAGGTAGAACAGAATCGACCTTTTCAGCAGCCACAGACTCTGGATACTGTCAGAAAGACAGCTGTGATTATTCTTCTCCTCCCAAAACCGTCCCATCTTCCTCCTTTATCTCATCCATGATGTACGACCCATTCTCATTTGTTCTCTTAAACGAAACCGCAGGAAAACTTGAAGTTTGTGATGGAACATTCTGTTGTCAACTCCAGTACCGGCAATTACCACAGAGTGACAGTACAGAGCTCTATGCACTGGGAGCTTTTGCTGGAACACACACTGTGAACGGGCGATATGCCCTGCAGGTATAAATAAGATATAAGAACCCAAACTAGTATACATTTTAAACTTAAAAACCAGTCAATTTAAATGATTTCGGTTGACAGGTATGTGCACTGGTCCGTTGCGCGGGGCGAGACTCCAGTTCCTGTGGACAGGAAGTGGAAGAAGCTGAGACTAAAATTGACTTCCGCTTGGAGGGAAAGTTTGGGACCAGATATGTGTATCCTTCCATTTTGGCCAGCGGCCTGGTTCTGGAGCAGCCGCAGCATGTTGAGAAGAATGAAAATAACATAGTGACCATGATTCATTCGGACATGACAGATGGTCTGGTCACAGCCTGTCTGTATGGAAGGATGTACCAGCTAGACAATCAATGAAATAATGCTGTCCTGATCATTCAATCATTTTTAAACTCCCTTTCTGATTATTGTGATAAAAGGTGTAAAATTTTATTCTATATTCTACAGTCTTTGGTCGTGTAAA